ATGTCTGAACTCACCAATATGCAGCTGGACATGGGAGGGGGTTGTAAAATCTTGGCATGTTTATTGTACATCTTGTCAGTGCTGTTACCAGTAACAGATGTCTTGTATACACCAACACTATTTTCCTCAAACATGCTAAAAATGTTGATATGAAGATTGAGGGAATTTCCTCTAAATCTGCAAACACTGATATTGGTATTGGAGCGGATAGGATAAGGAGAGGATAATAGGTAAAATGTGGTTCTTCAGTCTTGCTTAATATCTCCTCTGTTCCGTTAAAGCCCCTAAATGGTATAGAGTTTCACTTTTTTCAGTTCGGAAGTCTATAAACCCAGCTTGCCCAAGGTATAAGCCGCCATTATCACCCCATGAAAAATACGTCAGGAAAAACAAATAGCTGTAATGATTATTTCCACGAAAATGTCAAACCACAGATCAAGTGTGGCACGAATTCCTGTAGATTTATCATAGCTTGATCAAAATGGTTGCCATGTGTTTTAATGCAGTTGTATTTCCTTGCTAGTGTTGCTTTCATTAGCCATCTTTTCTTCCCTCAGGTCCCGCTTTTCTTTGCTGTGGGTGTGTAGGCGTTTTGGTTGAAGGCCATTTACAGCAGTGGCAAGTAGCGGAAATATTTGTATATAGAAGAGGTAAAGTGGTTCCACTTTTATTGCTGTTGTAAACATTTTAAGCATTTTTTGGTTCTCCGGGCGAAAAAAAATACCAAGAAATTAGGAAAAAAACTATATAAATACAACATGTTGGGAAATACCTCCCAATCGTTCTCCATGTTCTTGTAACTTGAGAGAAAGTGTTCACTGTTTGGGAAATTCTTGCATACATTAGATTTCATTCCATCCAAATGTATGAGGGCGTGCCCATATGATGTGAGGGGCATGTACCCCTGTTGTTCCTGGTTTAAAATATGAAATTGCTTAAAATAAAAACTGTTGAAGTCATTTCTCCCACACAGCTGTAGTAGATACAGTAAGTCCCAGTCAAACTGAAACATGTGCTCCGCTTGGCCAAATAAAAACCAAAGGGGAAAAGATTAGTTTTTTTTACTCGCAAAAATACAACAGCCACCCAAGACCAACCATCAGCCAAATCTTTCCATGTGACCTGCCTCGGATCGACTCTGAACTCAGATAATTCAAGTTGACTTCTGTGTTACCTCAACATGCCTGCAGCCGTGCTATAAACCCCCAAAGAGAGCTGGTGTGGCCTCATTGGAGCTGTGCAGGAAGTCTTGTTGCGTTTTCTAGGATTTGTGTCTCAAAAACGATGTCTTCATTCAAACATTATCCAGGGGGAGCCTTTCCTGCTTAATATAGCTGATACTTAGGAGATGAAATATGGCAATAAAAACATGTTGTATTTAAGATAACTTTCCACCAAAGGGAAATACTGGTTTAGGGTGGGGCGGTATGTAAACCTCTCCTCCAACATACACTGTTACTTCACTAGACCTTCAGTATATATATATATATATCATATTGAATCAAAGTGAGAGCTGGCATCTGAAGGCCTGGCATATACCCCAGATAAATATTGTTCTAGAATTACCCCCACATGAAAGATTATTTTCCAAACAATACTGTATATTCCGTGTATATATATATGAACTATCGCTGCCATGACGCGGGAACCCTCTGACTCATTTGGTGTGTTTAATGTTTTGACTTCAATTTGTACTAAATCTTGCTCAAATATTTAAACACTGTTGTATATTATAAAACGTATTGAAAGAGTTGTCCCAGATGTAAATACTTATGTTATGGCCAAGCTCCATTTAGGTATTCCAGAAAGACATATAAATACCTTGGCCAAAGATCAGACAAATGTGAAAGGAATGAAGCTACAATTATTGACATTTATTACACCTGCGCTTACCTGCTATGACATGTCTTAGGGATGTTCCTTTGGAAAAGAAAACAACAAGTCATGGCCTTAAAGCAAGAGGTACTAAATTGTGTCAGCGTTAGCTCCTGGTTTACGAACCAATAGGGAACACATTATGATACAATACATCTGTTTTGTATGTCAGCATAGAATAATGAATCTTGACAGACTTGATTTATAATTTCCCTGTCCAATCAAAGTATGATTCCATACATTTAAATGTAAGATTGACTCGCTCATTGACGACTGTTTCCTTGGTGGTTAAGCTGTGTAGGAGGAGATCAAAACAAGCACATCTCCTTCCTGTGCAATTGAAAACAAATGAACAGAAATGAAGGCAATAATTAAGACAGTTTCAAATGAGATCAAGGCAGCTGTGGTTATAAGAAAAATTCATGGCTGTAATGCACAAACTCAATTAAATCGAATTATATTTTTTTTAGTCCATGTGACCTTCTGCATGGCTAGGTGCAGTGGTGTTAGTAAAAAACACTGTAGAAAGTGTATTGTTCCTGTAAGAGTTCACAAAGTTCTCTCATAAAATCCTAATGTAAACCTTTCAGCTTGACTCAAAATTGCTATGTGGTGGAGCTAAAAACAAGTGTGTTGACATTCACCATGGAAAAGTTTACTCTTTTTTTTTGTAAAATGTTTTGGGGGATGAACTTAACAAACACATTTCCTGAAGGCCATCTTCTAAATATCCCCAAAACACACACTGTGTACTGAGAATAAGGTAATTTCACTGATGGGATAAAGTTGGCAGTATTTGATATTCTCTTATTCTCAATGATTACCAAACCAATCGCTGTCCCTCATCACTTTCTGAAGCCCCTGTCTGTGGCAATTAGTTCCAAATCAAAAACTTTTCATAAATTGGGTCACAATTATAGTTTGAGTAATTTCCCACAACAGCTAGTTTTTAGCACATTTCTCATCTAGCAGTAAATAGTGCACTTGTTGGGGATTATGTTCAGCTGCGGATTAATACACATTTGAAATGAGTAGCTGTCAAGGTCGTGTCCCTGATGATTTCTCCCGCCTGCTGGAGGGATCAAGCTGTCTGGTCACAGCTCTGTTGTTTAAGCTTATGTCATCACTGCTGTTCAGCACGGGCGGCTGAGCTGCTGTATAATAGATGATTTCCAGGAGATAAGCTCACTGAGTGAAGCAGCAATCATCAAGAAACCTTCACATATTATAATGTCAAAGGTGTTGTGGTTTTTTCCTGCCATATGGTTTATTTAGTGTAATCAGATCTTTCCCCACATGAATCCCCATTGCATAATAGTTTATTACATTATAAACAGCATCCCGCATAATAAGAATTGTATTATTTTATTTATGTATTTATTCATTTTAAATACAATCTGGGTACAGAATATTTGTTGCACCCAAAGGTTGATAGTTTGGTATAAATGATGAACATCCATACCTCTGAAATTATGTTTATTCAGCAGTCAATATAGAATGTTAGATAAAACATTTTTTGGCACAGTTGCTTAATGATCATAAGCTGTCCCGTTTCTGTGTGGTAATCTAAATAAATATGCAAAACCATAATTTACTTCCCAAATAAATACAATATAAACTACAATATAAGATGCACCGCATCCGCGCCCCACTCTGCCGCTCCTCAGGAAAAACAAAACAAAAACATAATTTATCGTACTTCAGGCAAACAGTTGCAATGGGTTCAAAACCAAATAAAGTGTGAAAAAGATGCTTCATAATTAATTACAATAGCTTATTTTACCCTAAAGTTCTACCAGGCGTTACAACAAGGAGGCATTTGATTGGGCCAATAGAAGGCTGTACTGTGCGCTTCACAGGAAGTTACAGGGTTTATTGGATGGGTGCAAACACATTTGCAGATCCTGATTCTACGTCATAGTTTTTCTGTCAGCCAGAAGAAAAACCTGCCACTTATGATCACTAAAACCATTGTTCTTGTTTCACACCTGTGCCTCAGTTCAGCTGAAAGTGTAAACGTTCATAAATTACACCCAGAGACGATATTAAAAAGATTATATCACCTGGAACTGGAGACATGATATGTTAACACATCTAAGTTTGAGAAAACATCTTGCGTGTTGAATTTACTTGGTGTGTTTTGGCAATTCTTTGAGGAAAATAATTCCAGAGAATTATGGGTAATTACAATAATGGGCTATTTGGGAAAAGTATAAAAAAGGACTCAAACATGAGTGTGATGAGATTTTCGATGGAGAGCAGATGGGATCTATTTTCACTAAAGTGAGTGTGTTTTAAAACAGGCGCTCATTGATAATCTACACAACATCAACAAACACAATCATTACATGTGCGGGCAAACCTGGAGCTATGGAAAATGATTTTCTTCACTCGTCAAATTCCTTATCAATAATGCTTTTTCTTTTCCTTGTATAATAACACTGCAATCAGTAAGATGATCGCTTGAAAGCAGGGAAACAGGGCACAAAGTCATGATCGCTGATAACAAGTCCACACTCCTTTAGGTAGATATGCTTCCTGTAGACAGCTGATCACTAAACAACACTTGAGGTCAATGGTCCAAACTTTTATTTATGGATTTGAAGTAAATTATTGAGCTTTTTTTTTTTTGCCTTAAAGGTGGTTTAGTGTCTGCATTTGGTCTTACTAAACTGAATGCCCATTAATATGGCGTGTAGGAGCTGCAGTTCTAGTCCTCCATGACCCACAGCTCATCTATCGCATGTGCTAGCCAACTAGTCAAATGCAAGATCACAAACATACAACATTGCTACATCGCTGTTGTACCACAGTTTACAGTGTTACTAGACAGATAGAAAATATAATAAAAACGTTTTTTGGTACGAACAGTCATTTTCTGTCTCTTTACATGGAATCCACAAAATCACAGCACTTGCTGTCCACGTGATTTGGATCCAATTTGTTTTGACAGACGTCAAAAGTCTCCCTGTTAGAAAAAGGCCGCCATGGAACAGCCATGAACACATTCCCTTCCTTTCCTCTTTTCCTTGAGATTTTATTCCATAGTTTGTCTTTAAACAGCATTCATGTCCAACTCTCCCAACAGTGTCTGAGAGCAGCATGAAGAGGTCCATTTCTCGGGGTCATACACACCCACAGTTCTTCGCCGACATATTTCGTACTGTGTGATGGAGGTGCCTGTTGTCCTGGAAGGAAAACTGTTTTTCATAAGCGATGGGCCGGCAGCAGGGCCCGTTGCTGACCTTGTCCTTGCGGCCCTTCTTTTTGAAGCCTGTCCGCACCATGTGATCCATGGTAAGGTCGTAGTTCTGCCGGTGTTCCAGGCATTTCCCGCTGCAGTAGCGCAGCAGCAACGTCTCGTCGCTTTCGTAGCCGAGACCCAGTTCACTTACGGTCAGCTCCAGCTCCCTCAAAGAGCAGGGCTTGGGCCTTCGCGCTCTTTTAGTCCTTCGAGCCTGGTTCTCTCCCAGGAGCCGGCTCTTCTTCCTCTTCCTGTCCAGCAAGGCGCCGACCACATGCCGAAGTTCGCCCTCCGTGAAGCTCTGGAACATCGCAGAAACTACCAGAGAGGAGGTAAATCATACGTTACTACACAGGTGGTGGAAGGATTATCGGATTTCTGTGTAAAGATAATCAGATAAGGTTCACAAAGATAACATGCAGTAGTAGGCAGGATAAACTCATGTGCAAACAAAATAAAACACGTTTATCCGACAACACGACAGCTTCCAATGAGTCTTATCGTTATCTGCATCTCTTGAAGCTGATTCAAGTTGAGGAATGCCACTAAATGGGTCTGTGGGAAAGTTGAGTGTCATCATATGAACTATGAGGTGCTAACTGACTGTGTGCTGCTGTGATACATTAAAAACACAATCTGTGAACACCAAAGTAAGATGTGAGATGTCTCCTGTCTGAACCCAATCTGCCCTTTAACACCTTATCTCAGACAGACAGGGAAGGAAGACAATAACAGTTTATCTTACACTCTGAGAGGACCGAGTTCATCTCGTCTGCGGAGCGGGGTCTCCGTTGAGGCCCACCCATCTGCCGGGACTTCACTGCCGATTCTGCTGATGAGGAGGAGGAGGAGGAGGAGGAGGAGGGTGATTGCGGTGAGGTCTTGAAAGTTGATTGAGAGAATGAGGACAGTCTTGATGAGGATGGAGACGTGTACGGGTATTTCGATTTAGGTCTGAACTGTCCGATAGTGGCCATGTTTCTAACGAAGACGATGGACAGGGCTGCGCCACAGAGCACGAAGGCAAAAGTAGCACCTTTCCATAACTTCATCTTAGAACGTCAAGGAGCATTGAAACTCTGTTGAGAGAGGGAAAAAGAGGACAAACGTCAAACATGTTCACACAGTCACTCCTTCACTTGTCACATTAAAGCAAAGAGAACAATGAAACAAATGGTTATCTTCTGTGCAATCACATTTCTTTGACCTCCCTGATAAATCCATTTCTCTCAGCAGAGCTTTTATTTTACCGCCAGTTTACTTTTTCTGATTCTGCTGTCAGCTTGTTTTCACTAAGTGGGTTCATGATCCGGAGCTTGACATCTCCTGCTGACACATGAGAATGCAGTGTGTGTTTAATCGCGGCTGCCTGAAGAGGAAAAAACATAAGTGCAATTTTTTTATTTGAACTGAAGGCAGGCTGGATTAGTTTCGCAACCCCTTGCCCTTTGAAACCGCTAAGAAGTGTATGTATTATTTCAAAATACCTGATGTGAATGAGAATACAAGCTTCCTCTCTTCATTTCTGAAGAAAACACTTTTTGTTTTGCAGAGGTTAATGTTCCCGAACCATCCTCTTAAAGGAGGGGAATCCATTCCTCCCCTCACAGGAACCACACCTATTTACAATGCTATGTATGATGAGGTCTCAACATGTGTGTTTGCACATCCCTTTATCTTATACCGCCGCTCCCTATCAGACACTGCATCGCAGCGGCCGCAAAAACTCACTTAGCAGGAGTTATCCCTCATGTTTCCTCTCTACTTAATGTCACGCCGCAGGTATTTGAGTGAAGCTTTACAACCTGACTTCTTTGTATTTTTCATATCATGTCACCAGTGAGCAATACATTTCCCCAGAGCCGGAAACGGCATACTGGCAGTGTCTAACAGCAAATCCAGACCGGCCTCCCAAAGTGTTTTGCCAGATTGGATTCTGTAATGTACAGACAGGCTCCTGCAGTGTTTACAATGGGAAACAATGGCATATATCGTTGTGTAGTTTAGCAGAAACAAAAATATGGGTTTTCCCTAGATCACATTAATGTTTACAAAAAATAAAGGAACATTTTGTCTTTATGCAGTGAAGTAAGTGAAACCACGAAGGACTATATGCAAATTGCAATAGTTCTCCACAGCGTCTGACTGTTTTAGACACCGCAGAATGAAAATATAAAGAGTCTGAGTTGCAGTGGTATACACAGAGTATAAACAGGTACAACCAGTCCTATCAGTCATAGCTTGACTCATCACTCATAATTCCATATGCGCTCGACGTGGTAATCAGCCACAATGAAGAGGTGGGATGGTAATCATTTGAAAGTCAAACATTTCAGCTAGCAGCCTCATATGACACACAGTCTGCTCGGTGCCCGACTGCATGATGTTCCTCTCTCACTGTGGGGTTTAATCACCAGACAGGACGGATAGAAGCCTCTGTGGAAAGTCTCAGACATTTTGCTTCTGTTGGTTCAACACCAGAAACCATGCTGCTCCATTGATATGATACATTTACAATTCTAAATGAGTTTGCTATGATAAGGTGCAAAAGATGAGGTCATTGTTTTCTTGTGCTATTAATAGGTCAGTTTTCAACAGTTACTCATCTTTGAAGTTATCACTTTCACACGGCCGGAGAGTATTAACGTCTGCGGCGTGTTAGCTTTGTGGCTCATCTTAATAAAAATAATTAGCTGGTAAAGAACCGAAGAGACGTCTCATTCGCTGACACAGGAGGAAGCCTGATCATCAAACACCTATCTCTTGTCCCTGAAGACACTTTGATTGTCATAATTACTGCACTCAGAAACCCATTAGTCCCATCTGCAGTCAATTGGCGCCAATAAAAGTGCCAAGGAGCATTTCGTAGCGGATTCACGGATGATTAATCAGTACAGATATCTAATATCTATCACTGGCCCCCCACTGTCATGGAAATACATATACAGATATTGATAGCGAGAAAGGGGCACCAGTGTTTTCTTTGGAGAGTAACGGAAAGACATGAATGAGGAGCCCACTTCCTGAGGACAAATGCTGCTATTTTCCAGAAAACAGAAGAGCAACAGTGCAGAGGATATAGTGGAACCCCAGAGGACCCTCCAGCAGAAGGAAAAGCCATCCTCGAGCCGAGACATAAAAGTGCAGATGAGTCGCAAAGACAACTAGAACAGCTCACACACACACACGCACGCACGCACGCACGCACACACACGCACACGCACACATACCATGTATACATCACTTCAGGGGACATTACATTGACTTACATGCATTTCCTGGAGACGTATCCTAACCTTAACCATAACCAACACATGCCTAACCCTAACCTACCCTAACCAAGTCTTCACCCTAAAATTAATGATTCCCCTCGTGGGGACCTCCATTATGTCCCCATAAGGGTAGCCAGTCCCCACATGTGACTGTGTAAACAGATTTAGTTCCCCACAAGTATAGTAATGCTAGGCCACACACACACACACACACACACACACACACACACACACACACACGCACGCACGCACGCACGCACACGTCTGATGCTCACAAAGCATCCGTATAGATATGCCCATGCATGCTCCTGTGTTCAAAGATGAGGGCAGTTCAATGTGTGAGGCCCAAAGCAAACGCAAATATCATCTATTCACAGGGAGAACAAGATACATTTGTATGCATGATAGTTATTTTTAGGAGTTTGTTTTTCTAGCGAGTGTAGAAGTGAATAAGGTATGTATGCAATGTGCACCTGATGTTTGCTGTCAAACACGAGTCACCTGAAGTGCTACCAGCAGAGTGAAAACAGTGTCAGATGATCATTAAGGCAACCGTGAAAGTGAAATGCCTCGCCAATAATTCATCTGTCTGTCGGTCAAAGCCATTCCTGAGACATTATGTATTCTCCGACGCATGCATTTGTCATTTGGAGTCCCATCCTGAACCCTCAACTGAGCTCTTGTTGTGACTCAAAGATCTCATTATTTCAAATGACACAATGAAATTGATGTTTTCCAGGAATAATTGGGTCAGTGGCGATGGCGCTGCTAAGCTGGCGGTAATGTAATTACAGCAGCATGGCACTTGTTTCCTCCCCTCTCTCCCATGCTAGAGACACTCAACAGAATGCCACAGCCGATGGAGGATGAACTAGAGATCTGTCAAAATGGAGATAAGGGGCGTCTGTGGTTAACACTTATGAATGAGGCGGGCAGACAGGGGGTGCCTTCTTTTCAGATAGCTTGGATCTCGAGCAGTGTGACAGCCAGAGAAGATCACAGAAGAGAAATGAATGAAGAGTGTCTTTGTGCCAAGAGAAAAGCGGATACCAACTTTTATGTCTGACCACCAGAATTTGCTCCTATACATTCCCTAAATACAGCCTTTTCTGTCTCACTCACTCACTCTCCCTCGCTGTGACCAAAGTCTATGGCTGTGACTCACACATACCATAAACACACACAGGCAGCACTTGCGTAGTTTCACTTTTCCCAAATCATATGACACAGGCTTGTGTAGGAAACGAGACAAAGTCTAACCTTCCATTGTCGTCCAGACACCCACTTCACTTTCAGGGCGCACTCAGACTCCCAGCAGCACCATCACATAACACTAGATAATCCAGTTTACATAACACTGCCGCTTTTTCATATCTACAAATGTCCACAGGTCTAACCCTGGTGTGTTTGGCTACTCTCAACCCGAGGCCTCTGCCTACAGAACATTGTTACCACGCTGTGTGTCAGCTCAGTTCCACCCATGTGACCGGCTGTCTTTGAACACACCCCGAAAATACCTCTACTAAAAAGATAACAGAGGAGCATAGCAAATAGCAGGAAGGCACCTACTGTGTTGTTCCAAGGAAACAACGTGCTTTAGAGAGTCCTAGAGAGGCCTTGTCTTGTATTGTCCCTCTTAAGTGAGCATCAGGAGGCCTGGGGACAGCTAGAGAGTGCTTGAGGAGGTAATAGGGACATATTCCAAAGATCAGGGCGGGATTAGCACTAATGCCTGCCGGCTTTATCTGCAGTCACGTGGGTTAACACCTGGCTGCAGTGCTGGTGGCGGAGCATTGGCCTTACTGTAAGTGTGTGTGTGTGTGTGTGTCTGTTTTAATCCACCAGACACCTCGATCTCAGGGGTTATGCCAGCATGCACTGCCTACTGAAAAAGCACCAGCAGGCACTGCTTCTTCTTCTACTTCCAAAACCTGCGTTCAATCAGAATAATGAAGAGGAAAAGTAAGGGGTTTGGTAGTTGGATCCGTCGTGTTGGCCACACAGAGGGCCAAAAGGCTGTAACATAAAGTGGATGTTCTGAGCCAGGATTGGCTGTGCTAAATCCAGCCTCGGTTCTAATGCAACTGAAAAAGGCTTAGGTTTGGCTGCGCTGTAATTTTGCTGGGCAACTGCTATGGTTGGCTTGCGTTCTGTCACTCAGTAACCAAAAGGATAATTAAAACAAGGCTGTCCCCTGTTAGTGCGAAAGCTGCCGTTCGTTATCGAGGAGAAAGAAGGGGAAACCATGTGTGCGGGATTCAAGACAAAAATGTGATAATTTTAACACGCATTCTGTAAAATACTAAACCGGTTTCCTACATCCTTTTGGTCTACTGGTGGAGGTGAGCTGTTTAAAATATTGTATTGTTAACATCACAAAGGTTTATATGGATTAATCCGGTAATCTAACAGCCTAGCACGAAATCTCACAACTCAAAGCTGTGAGGGCGTCGTTAATGAGGCGCGGGAGAAGGAACACTTATAGGTGCACATTTGACCTCAGTCCCGATTTGTCTAGCCTATTCCTGGAAGGGATGAGTCAAGGTATAGACCTGTATTTAAATAGCTTTCCAACAGACAAAGAGGTGACATGAGGCTGGGCAGGAAAACCTCACCTTGCCTCATCATCTTGCAGTGAGCTGGTAGTAAGATTGATGATTGTTCGGGGCTACTTTCTAAAGAAGAGTCCATAAACTCCTATATTCTGGCTGCTAATCTGTCTATGCCAGATCCCTTTTAACACACCAACATCGCCTCTAAACCTACGTTAAACATGTTGATGTTGCAGTTACAAAAGGCTGACTGCACTCTGGCACACACTGAATGCTACTTTAAAATATGACCAACGCGAGCAAGCACAAGCAAGTACAAACATCTGAAATATGAGGACATTTTACGTGTTTATAAGCTTGTGCTCTCTCCACAGAGCTATCATACTAATTATTTGGATGCACAATATACATTTTGGCAAGGATATGAAAGAGAAATGCAGAGGAGTGGTGCAGGAGTTTAGCTTTCTCTTCAGTTTCTTCCAGTTATGACCAGCTCCGGCAGGTTATGACAGTCCAAAGGCTCAATTGACTTCAGGCTTAACCTCTATCCGGCCTCTTGGGGCTCCGCTGGATACAGTATAATCTCTAAGTATGATATGGGCTTAATGAGAAGGGGATCATCACTTCAGTAAAATGCCCAAAGTGAGTATGATCAAGTTAGCCTCTCTCAGAGCACCTTCATTATATTTTTAGATGACAGGTCTAGCAATTTGACCCTGCTCCGCTGAATTATTTAAACAGGTAAAGGCACAGCTATGCCAAAAATTCCAATCTCCAAAATGAAGGCAGAAAATAATAATTATCCGAAATCACTATTTTATAAGCTTTCAAAGTAGGGCTGCTCTTTTTGAGAAGGGAAAGTCGGAGAGTCATAAAGAAGCAATTATGCGTGATAATGAGGTGAACCGCCACGCTGATGAGTAACAGAAAAATGTAATATTTCTCCCTGACAAAAACAAACTTGTCTGTGTGGTGAGAGGTAGTTCAAATTCTGCAGAAAGTGAGGAGAATTATTTATTTGACTTTTCCAACATGCCCCTTTGTAATCAATGCTTAATGCTCTGCAAACATTTCGTGACAGGCAGCTCCGCTCTATTGACAAGCGTTTCCAGTGAAGGCCCGCTTGTTGATACAGATAATCCAACGTGTGTTTTCTGCCACTCCAGCGCCTGGTGAGGCATCTCTGTCAGCGGCTTCTAACGCCTTCCCCGTAATCTGCCGGCTTAAACCAACAAAAGAAGATGTGGTGTCCTTACCGTTCGGCCGGCTAATCCAGATTTAGCTGCGTGGCGTCGTCTTCAGCTGACCTCCACAGGCAAGTGTTGGCTGGGTAAATCCATCATCATCACAGGCGAGGAGCTGCACTCCTGCTCGTTCCCCAGTAAATCATCACAGCTCCATGTGCCTGCTGGGAGCTGTCCGGGCTTGATTCAGGTCCAGATTGTGTTATTCTTTTATCATATCTGCATTTCATTCGAAATCTTTAAGATCAAGCTCGACATTCCTCTGAATGTAATCATGCGCCTCATGGCACTCAGGATGTTTCATTCACAGAAAAGGAGAGTTGGGTCTTCAGAGGAGTCCCCGACTTGCCATCTGGTTCACTTCAGAGAACTTCTGTTACCATGTCCTTTCTGCACAACCCTGAACCTGAAAAAACACAGAGCAACACAGTGTCATGTCATGCAGAGATTTTACAGATGCCTTAACTTCTTTCCCATCTGTTGTGAAACTCCTATTTCAACAACCCTGATCATTTGATCCCCAAACAACAGCAATCAGAAAGACAATGCACATGTCCTTACCCCTATGCCTGCAGCAGGTCTTCTCTTCGGCTCCAGGGAGGGAAACTCTGCGGGTGGAGAAGATGGGTTAGGTTGAGGAGGGAGAGCGTGGTTACCGTAAGTGGAGCAGAGAGCTTCTCTGATGCCTCTGCCTCCTGCCTCCCCCCCTCAACTGTTGCTCCTCCTCCTCCTCCATAGTTGTGCTTGTGGGCCGAGTCGGATTACTCCTGACATGATAATCTCCCTGGCTCTAGCTCCAGGAGCACTAAAGGATGCTTTGGCCTGAGCAAGGGCTTACATTTACCTTCTGCCGCAAAAGAGTCTGCCATCTTAAGTGGGAGATTGGTAGTCGCCTCGATTGAGATCAGAAGGGTCTGCAGAAGCAAGTGTTTTCCAATCTTTTAGGGGGAATTAAGAAAGTGCACAATTGGTTTAAATGCTGCTAAGACAACACTAACGCCAGTTAAATGGAATTATCACAGTGGAGGTATTTCATGATGATTCAATCTACGGTTGGCTTGAGATAAAACCCAGGGTGTTGTTGTTGAAAATCTCAGGTTCACGTCGCCTCCAATACCAAACCGTTTTTTAGCCTTTGAGCCCTGAGCAGCAAATGAGGAGCAGATGGTTGTGCTTTTGAAGGTATCAGGCACTCCAGACTGCAATCTAAATAAACTTCCCATCCAGGGGGGAAATGCGTCAGGTGTGTGGGGTCAGTCGTATGTAAACAAAAGCCAACCATTTTTGAGACAAGTGAAGCCCTTCATGAGGTAGGGAGGCGACCTAGAGTCTTAAATATGCTGTTTGGTAGAATAAAGCAATCAATAACTGTACAGGTACAATGCTGATCTAACCAGAACGGATGGTTTCACAATTGTGTCCACAGCAAAAGATATTGAAATACAGCAGCTATTTCCGCTAGAGTCACAACAGGAAACGTATTATTTGCTCACAAACATCTCATCCTCACACTATGAGTCATTCTGATATCCTCGGGCCAAATTATACACAAATCACGCTATGCTAAGATCCTCTGAAGAGGAAGAGATGTGGCCAAGAGCTAACTTTCTCAGACTTCAAACCCCTCAGTGTGGACTGAGAACAAAAGTTATTTATCTGAGCTTTGTCTCATACCAACATGTGAGTATTGATGGATCATTTATTGGATTGTTATCTCAAGTGTACATTTTATTTCAAGTTTGAGGCGAAGCCAACCAAAGCTTTCCACTTAGCCCTTTCAGCGGCCAACAAATCAAAATAATATTTGTGCTCTTCTTCACCGCAAAAGTATTTTAGTCAGCAGGTGCAAAATTATGACGACCCTCTCCCCGAAAAACATGAGAATTATGACGTTGAACTTGTTTAACATTCATCATTATTGGCGGTAGGAGCCCGTATAATGACTCGCTGTTAGCTGGGGATATCGTGCTTTCGTAGCCTTGAACAGGAACTATCGGCACAGAAACATTTCCTGACATGGGGCAGGAACATTTCTTCTCTATACATATTGTTCACAGATGTGTAAAGTTTTCTTAGAACAGCCTTCGCTACAATAAAAGTCCAACAGCTGTTAATTGCTAAATCGAGTCAGAGACAATAGGAGGGCTACACTTGATGTGTATACAATGCAACGTCTCACTCAACAGCTTAGATTACATTAGTCATGAAGACAGTCTGACGTTCAGTATAAACAAAAAGAAGAAATACAGCAGAGTATGTTTCCAATTTGAACGTGATAGAATAGCATACACATCGGATTGAATCTTTTCCACTGGGTGTGGATGAGTGAAGAAACACATTTTGTTTAGGTTTGGGCAAGATTTTAAGGAAGCCCTCAATCAGTAACACTATAAACACACCATTCCAGTCGAGGTGTCATTAGAAAGGCTGGAAATAAGGCTCAAATGTTGCTACTCCGCTCGTCTTGCGCAAGATGTGGTTTGAGGATTGGACAAGTAGCCGTTAGCCAAATGTCATCTCACAGAAAGGAAAACTACTTTTTAGAGAACCATAATCTAAACAGGCATTTGGGACAATGAAGTATTTTTTCTCTGTGAGAAAGTGGTAACAAGGTAAATCCAGCCTGACCCAAGAATAAATATACATTGCAATTTGCAGATGTGACCAGCTGAGGCCCCAGCAGTGCAGACGCCAGAGGTGATTAAAGAAATCAGTGTGATTGAACTCTCAGACACTTTTCCTCAGCGCTTAAACACCTCAGTTTGTGCAACAATTTGTACCTTCAGCTAAAATGTGTTGTGGTCTATTTACAGTCCTTGCAGTGCATTTACTTCCTACATGACAAGGACAGACTGAGTGTTTCAAATAACACAGCTGTGAACACAGCTTAATGCTGCCCTCATCTGTCAGTGGATTACAACTACATGCAACACAGAATAAACAGTCCCTCACCAGGAGAGACACCAAAAAGGAAATAGCCTTTTCAGTTTAATACAAAAAATATTTATTTCTTTCATCAGCATATAAAATGTAGTAGCGTGTTGACGCTGCATTGTTCTGCAACTGTTAATCTGCACAGGCGGTCTTTCTGCTTCCCAGAGAGAGTGTGCGCTCCCCCTGAAGCAGCGGCCTCCTTCTGCTCTGAAAGCCCTTGGTGCTGTCGGGGCCGAGGGGCTGACGGACCACCGTCTGCATCGGGCAGTGCGCGTTCATGTGCAGCGCCACCTTGGGGTTTAATACACTGGCTGCAAATTTGCGCCTCAGCACCCAGGGGCTCTGAGAGCTCTCTGTGTCACTGTCTCCAGAGCACCAGTTCCTCTTGCTGTGCCTCGGATTCAGACCGGAGAGGGACTTGCTGTTCCAGTTGCTGGAGATCTGCTCCAAGGTTCTTTGCACAGAGTTTTCCACAAACTTCTGGGACTGAGATGTTTTGTCCTCCTTGACTGAATCCTCTGGGGTTTGATGTTCCTGGGAAGGTGTGTCCTCAGGTCTGATCTCGTTGGTTCCCTCTGATGATTCCCCCCTGTTGATGTAGTGCATCGACTGGAATCCCAAAGGCACCACGTGTATGCCGTCACCGCCAGACTTCTCCTCCTCTGCTTTCAGGGCGCTGTAGGTCTTACGAACTTCCTCCAAATGATTAAACTTCACCACTACACACAGTTGTTGGCCGAGCTCTTTGTGGCGCTTGGCGTAGCACTGCAGCTCCTTGGGAAGCTCCTCGCCAGCATGCAGGATCCAGGATGAAATAATCCCGCCATGGACGCTGAACTTCTGGAGGATGCTCTTTGAGAGGAAAGCCTGCTCCAGGCCTCGGGATGATCCATTGTCTCCGGTTGAATTCTCCACAGAAGAGTTCCAGGCGAGGAGCAGCTTGCTGGTGGGGGAACACAGCAGCCTCTTGGGAAGCGGTTCCATCCGCCTCACTTTGGTGCCTTCATCGTTCACCTCCAGGAGCTCGGAGTACTCTGCTCCTGCCAGAGTCATGTACCAGTTTGTGGTCAGGACCTTTATCTACAACAAACAACAGCAACCTCAGCTTTGTTTGCTTTTTTACTGGACTGTAAACATAGCAGAAAGCAACTGAAACCTTGCAATTAACTAACATGATTGTACCTTTTTCAGACAAGTGAGGAGCTTGAGGCTGACGAAGCCCTGCTTGTTCTTCTGCACATGTTTCAGCAGGAAGCCGTCCTCGGCCAGGTGGCTGTCGGTGAACAAATCCTCCAACTGGGCCTTAATCTTCAAGCAGAGCAACTCACCTTCACAGTCTTCTTCATCCCGGGCAGATTGGGCATCATCTCTACAAAAAAAACAAGAATCAGCATCTTGATATACTGCGATGTAGATTAGTCAACCATATGTTTTCTAATTTGCTTACCCAATCGGATTACTCATTGTATCTCCAGAGGACAGTGATAACAGGTCGCTGAGCTGTGCGGTTTATTGGTAAAGTAAAGATGGGTATTAGGGAAAAGCAGCTAGGTACAGTCAATGCTCCTGAGTAATGAAAAAATGCACGTGGACACAGTTGTCAGTTGGTCATTTGGGATCCAAAACAACATTTTGTAAAATGCTAAATTCCACATTCCACAATATCACCTCGACTATCAGCAACTAGCACTCAAACAAAAGTTCAATAAATGCTGAAAAAAAGAGAAACTGTCAACATATTGTTCGCTAACATAATCATAAGAACATTATAAGTTAAGTGAAAGTCTACTCCAGCGATGTATCAGTGTTAATATCACAACACATCGTTAAGGCGTGCATTTCTGCAACACTATTCAGAGCTAAGAGCACAATAAAATACAAATAAAAGATGATATTATTTCTGGATTCCCACAGACACAGTCTAAAGCAGCAGTAAAGAACAAAATAACCAGTAATTATCCCTTAAATCCAGCTTTATATCCTGTTTGCTCTTGTCTTGAAATCATTTATCCTCTTCAGCGTGTTGATGCAACAACAAATCCATCTGTTACCTTAGCTGCCATGTTTTAATTAGCATGCTTTCCATATGTTACGATCATCACACACAGGATAAATATGCGACCCAAAGCTGTCTGCTTTTATTTCCCGCTCATAATGGCACTGATTTAACAGACTGTAGGCACACATGGACATAAGACTCACATGTAGAAAGAAACACTGTAGCTTGGTTCTCTAGACAGTGACATGAGTGAAAATCATCTTTAAATCGTATTTGAGGAGAACTTAACAAATCTGCATCTTCAGGATTGTGTGGGTGTGGGATTTGATTGACAGTTGCGTCTCTAAAGGGTCATTAAAAACTCTCCTCACCTACTCACTAAATTATATAATATATCAAACACTAATACAGTATTTAACTCTTTAGTGAGCAATCAACTGATAGAATACACGTTTTAATCCCCCTCATTTCCTCAATTACTTATTGAATCTAGAAAATGAGATTGCAATGTAGATTTTTTTTAGCAGCGGATATTACTGCCCATTGTTTTTTTCTTTCAGGGCACTGTGTATATAGTGGATACATCTTACAGTAAGAATTGAGACACATATATATGGTGGACTATTTAGTAAATAATAATTTTGTACAGTCTCAGTCACATCGTCCATCAGGAGTGTGCAGGTGTCTCCATGGCAACATAATAAGCAAATGACCTTAAATCAATACATTCTGATTTTCTTAATGATATCTTCTGATTGGACCACAGAACACTGTGACATCATCATTCTCCAACAGAGACCCGCCTCTTTCAAACCAATTTGAAGAGCACAAATACAAAACATATTAAACCTTAAATTACCTAACAATAAGCGATGATGACTTCATTCTCCGTGACAGTTGGTTGCTGGGGGCCTTTAGAAAAAGGACAACTCCTAGATACACCCCTGCAAACAAATACAAACACACGTATCTGCATGTAATGTTGCATTCATGAAATAATTAATGCCTTGAAACAGAAGACAGTGAAGGATTTATCAGTTAAAAGAGGCCCAATTATGGTTTTGGGGATTTTCCCTTTCCTGTCGTGTGTTATATCGTTGCATTGAAATGGTTTTCATAGACTTAAATCCCTGTGTTCCCTCCCCACTGCCTGGAACACCTCCATTTGACTCCTTTTTACTTTCAAAACATGGTGACATCACTATGTAGCACTCACACTTCTATTGGATAGCTCTCCAACACATTGTATGTGATAGGCTAAGGGGCGGGACATCTCTAAGCGGTTGACCAATCACCACAGAGCTGACCAGCAAACCAATCAGAGCAGACTGGGCTCTGGTTTCAGACAGAGGGTGAAAGAGGTGCTGCAGCACAGGCAGTATGAGAAATAAAGAGCTTTTTGAACATCAAAGCGTGGAGACATGTCACAGGAGAGACACACAATACAACTATGAGCCTTACATTGAGCACAATAGAGCCCCTTTAAGACTTTCACATTTAGTTAACAACAGGGTCAAGAAACGAGGCGTCACAAGCCAAGATTTGTACAAAAACCCAATTATTTAACTTTATTAACATCAATGTTTTTTCATTTTCATCAACAGTTTCTTTTTAAATTCCAGTTCTTTATCAACAAATAGAAAACAGACTGTGTGTACAACAGATTGAACCCCTACAGCACTAAGCATTCACAAGGTAAAAATGAACATTTCAGTTTTTGCGCCAGCGTTTTCAAGTCCCCCCTCCCACCGCCGCTCCCCCACCGCCACCACAACGTTTAGGCCTCTTCAGACGCTCCCTCCTGCGGCTCGTGTGGGAGAAGATGTGTGCTTGAGTGGTGCGATTGGGTGAGGAGTGGTCCATCTTGATGGGTGGGGGTGGGGGGTTGTGCTGTTTTTCCTCATTCAGACGGACAACCAGCTGTCAAAGTTACTATGGTAGTACAGTAGATACAACGGTGTTTCCATTAATACACTCTAGGACAGCAGGCTCTCTGCTCTGTCTCTAGGGTTGGTAGATCAGCAGAATTTATCCTTTTTAACAATATACCTTTGAAGCTGTGTATATATCTATGTGTAATTGTACATATATATAATCAATCATAATTATATATATATTTATAGTTCTATTTCTGTATAAAATAATATCAGGTTTCAGTCCAAAGGGCCGAGTCTCTTTCCCCTCCTGTAGGAATGGTTGATTCTGTACAGCTTGATGCTCCTCCATGTGAGCCGCTCTCGTTCCTCTCAGCCGCTCGCCTCCAGAAAACTGACCAACGGGCAGCGAGGAGACGGGAGGGACTCGAAGAGCAACTTTATTCAGAGATCAGGGAGTTTATTTTTCGGTCAACTACCCGTTGGGTACAAAAGTCTGTTTTCCTCAGGTAATTCTCCGCTGTGGAGCATGAAGGCCTCAATGCCATAGGCTTCTGATGAAACATAACAAACAAAAAAACACGTAGAAATAATGTGCTTTCCATTTCTGTACACCTCTGATTTAGTGTCTCGTTAGCTAATTCATTGCTTGCTTTTTAAGTAGCTACCATGTTTAGAGGCCAAACTTTAGCGAGTGTGTGCTCTTCAATCAGTTTTCTTAAAGTTGACTTTTTTTATCCAAAATGGCAAGTGACAAGGCAATTTTTTTTTTGGAGTTATTGAACTGAGTAAGACCAAACATAACGGTTATGACACGGATAAAACAATAAAGTCATGTGATAAAAGAAATCTGACAGCAGCTCAGAGAACAGGGGTCCTCCTGTATTAGTATCTAGGAACGTGTTAAAAATACATGTCCCTTGTGCTAAAGTACCCTAAAATAACAGTAAAAACCCCAAAAAGTACCGATTATGATAATAATGCTTGACCCAGGCTGGGCCGTTTAAGACAGAAATAATGTCTGATGTTAAAATGATTATTAAAAACAACAAATATACTAAACAATAACATTTGACAAAATGAATCACAATATTGACATTAAAATGAACATAAAAAGAACAGAGAGAGGGCTCTCTTAGTGCTACCAGTAGCCTTTGACAATCAGGGAGGTTTGGCTTGGACAGAGCAGAGCTGTCGCTTCTGTACACGAGTTGTCACGTTTGTCATAGTCATTATAATGTTTCTGTTATTATTTTTAAAGCAAAAATCTCATGTGGTTGGTAAAGTCGGCATGGATCTCTGTGATTGGATAAACCTGTCGCCGGGTTTGCAAGCGCTTCCCTTTCTCCTCCCCTGCGGTAGCGGTGAGGGGGCGGGGCTTAGGGGAGTCAGGTGGGTGTATGGTGGCTGAGATGGGACACTTGGCACACTCCTGAGAGGTCTGACCAGGGAGGCTGCTCGCTGGGAGTGGTTATGTTGCATAGTGGTCAAAGCTGCCCAGGTACTCCAACGCTGCCCTGTAGCACAGCTGGTACTGGTCCTGGGGAGAGGAAGAGGAGGAGGAAGAAGAAGAAGACTTGTTAAAAAGGTTGCAAGCATGTCTGGAATATCACATATCAAACCTGTCACTATCCAGCTGCATACACACGACATCTACTGAATTTCTCTCTGTCCTAGAAGAGAGATGGTCTGTTGCTCTTTTGGGGTTTTTAAGTTTTTTCTGCTAAAAGTCTTTTGATGGAAGTTTTTTTTTCATCCGTCTAATAAACATTTGTACACATTTTTGGAGAGAAATGTACAAGAAGAATCTGGTCATGTTCTCTGCTCTTACCAATACCTTTGGGAACTGATCATTGCATTTTCCCAATGTAATTCTGTTTTCTAGAATAAAAGTGAACCAACAATAGGCGCGTTCACACCAAGTACTTTTCCCACAAAGGTTCCTGAGAACTACGATTTAGTTGCGTTCACACCAAAAAGTCCCAGGAACTAAATTAGTTCTAGACTAGAGAACCTTTTTTACCCCCTTTTCAGTCCCTGCTAGAGAGCAGGGACTTTCGTGAGAGAAAAAGGTTCCTGTCTCTGATTGGCTGGGCGGAATGCAAACCACGCCCCAGTCAAACTCCCAAAAACGTTTGTGAAGCCGCCATTTTATTAGCATTAGCATTAGCATAGCGCAGAAACGCAGAGAGACTAACTTATGACAACACAAAATAAAACATGGGAGCGGTGGAGATGA